ACACACACATATATTATAGAAACAAAAACATTTATTTTGGATGTGATTAATTGCGATTAATTGTTTGACAGCACTAACATAAACACACACACACACACACACACACACGGTCACAGTCACGGTTCAATACGGTTCAGTTTGAATTAGATTGTAATTTCAAACAAAAACAGAATGATCTGACTTTAGACTTGTGAAATGATACTACATAAGACACCTGCACAAACAAAAACAGCAGATGGACTGAATGATAATGTAAATGTATTGTCTGACAGCAGGTGGCACTTATGGAACAGCAGCGATATAGAGTTTAATTGGTTACTGCTTTAAACAAAGCTGCACTGCGCTTATAATCACTGCTTTAATATGCATTATATGGAGGAAAAGAAAATGCCATAGAAACATTTTTGAAGATGGTCAGTTCCTCTCAGAGATACATTCATATAAACCACATATTTGTCTTTCTTTATTTCGAGCATCGCAAACAGTGAGCTTGCTCTGCCTTGTACAGTGTTTTCTCATCTTTACAGACTTCATAAAAATTCCACACAAATTACATTTTGGGAAATGATTGCAATGCACTTGCAATTCCGGAATAAAGATTGGCCAGTTCTGATTTATGGCTGGTCGACCGGTGAATCTTTAAAACCCGAAACTTTCCCACACTTCTGATTTAAAACAAGTAGGTGGTTCTTCGAGCTTTTGCGTGTCATTTAAACTCACCGTTCTTGTTTTGGGTTGGTGCGTAGATCGTCTGTTCTTCTGCTCTATCCTGTTGTGATGGTTAGCGGTGCATTACCGTGCACGCCTCCTTCTGGATTGATCGCCTATTACTGACTATATTCATCGTCTGACTGCATGAACCGAACCGTGACATCCGTACCGTGATGGTTCGAGATGAATACATGTACCATTACACCCCTACATTACAAGTAATATAACAGAAACCAGATATTTCTACCTTCCTCAGTAAATACTGTCATACTACCCAGCCTTCCTGTGACCCACTGTGTGGGTTTATAATGTTGATGAAGCAAGTGAATGAGCAAATGAAAACTGCTGACTATGCACTGTGTGAATTGCACTGTGTCATTAACTACATTTTATCTTGTCTTCTCCTCCGCACTTGCATTGATGGTTGAATCTATTTACTCAGCACTATGGCTTTGAGAGCCCATAACCGCTGTAGTTTTGATTTGTAGAGGAGAAGTGGGAGGATGAGCGAAACATGTCCCATGAGACATCAACCAACCATGAACAAGCTCAACCCACCCCAAGAGCAACTGCAATACAATTAACCATTCACTGACTTGCTGTGAACTATACACACATTTGTTACGTTTAGAGATATTATTCTACTATCATTTAGAGTAATTGCAGATAAAGTGGAACACATTGTTGTATTTGATATTTCGTCCTATTTTCTCTGCATAGTGTTGTGATACTTAGCTATTTAAAGATCTTTAATAATTAAAATAGTAGTGTGTGATGGGCAAATTGATTTGGCATCATATTTTTAAACAAAAGTTTAAAAAGTGACAATTTTCAGAAAGTCTTGTAATTTTTTCCTACAAGTTTTCTTCAGAAAATACATTTTAAAAATTAGTTTTGGGATCTGTCTTTTTGGTCTAATGCCTTTAGCTAATAGTTTACAACCGTAAACAAAGTTGTTAGCATAATGTGGAAAACACACACACAAAAAAACATGCATTTTTGTTAGAACTGTAATGCAAACTAGTGAAATTTCCCTTCTTGCTCAAGAAATAAAAATTATACTTCACAGAATTTTCTTAGCTGAAGTAAAGCACTAAACTGAATCAAATGGATCATGGCCGCTTCAGAAACACAATCTCTATAGATGTGGCTTCTTGGAAGTGGGAATTTTGTGGTGCGTGCAACGGTAATGATACCTTGAATTGTGCAGCTCAGTCTACTATTAATTTACTGTGATATGTCTTTCGATTTGCAACTGATAAACCAGGCGAAAAGTATTTTGAAGGGCCCTGAGTCGTATCTAGGGACCTGAATATAGATATCATAAAACCACTCAAGCTCCCACAAAAGCATGCAGTCATTACTTGTGTATTACTCAGAAATAGTAAAAATATTGTTATTGAATATTGAATATATCGCAGGGTTCAGGGTCTGTTTGACAGTCATGGTCAGTGAAAGCCGACCCCTCAAACTACTACAGCTGGCTTCATGGGGCCATCGATCAGGACGGGGGAATTCCTTTATGGCCTGTCCCAGAGAAAGGCCTTCACTAAGGGATTGTGCCAGCCATCGATCTGGAGTCTCAGTTTTATTTTCCCCACGGGAGTGACCAAGGCCTGATTTATGAGCTGTGTTACACACAAACAGAACAACAGCCTTAAATCAGTAGTTCACTCAAAAATGCTATATTTGCTAAAAATGTACTCACCCCCTTAGACCTTCCAAGATGTAGATGAGTTTCTTCATCAGAACAGATTTGGAGAAATGTAGCATTACATCACTTGCTCACCAATGGATCCTCTGCAGTGAATGGGTGCCGTCAGAATGAAAGTCCAAACCGCTGATAAAATATCACAATATCACAATAATATATAACAAGATATCACAATAATCCACAAGTAATCCACACGACTCCAGTCCATCAATTAACATCTTGTGGAGCAAAAATCTGCATGTTTGTATGACACAAGTCCATTGAGAAATGTTTAATTTTAAACCGTTTCTTCTGTCCATAATCCATAATATTGCTTTCTCCAGTGAAAAAGTTGTCTGGTCTGAATCAGGAAAAAAATATGTTAAAAAAACAAGCCAAAACAGTCCAAAACATTTCTAAATAAATGTTGTGATTGCTTTTATCACTGTTTGGACTCTTATTCTGACGGCACCCATTCACTGCTGAGGATCCATTTGTGATGTAATACTAAATTTCTCCAAATATGTTCCGATGATGGCCTGAGGTTGAGTAAAAAGTATAAATCACCTTCAGATGTACTGCATTACATTTCAATGTATTCATACATTTTTGTTAAAAGATTGAACCCATCACAAAACCTATATCAGCAAAAGAGTCCAAAACATTTCTAAATAAATGTTGTGATTGTTTTTATCACTGTTTGGACTCTTATTCTGACGGCACCCATTCACTGCTGAGGATCCATTTGTGATGTAATACTAAATTTCTCCAAATATGTTCCGATGATGGCCTGAGGTTGAGTAAAAAGTATAAATCACCTTCAGAGGTACTGCATTACATTTCAATGTATTCATAAATTTTGTTAAAAGATTGAACCCATCACAAAACCTATATCAGCATACTTGGTCATATTTTAGCCCAAAATCAAATGAAAGAAATATTAAATTATATTTTCCATAAAGAAAATTAAGCCTGTTTTAAGTCTATCAACATTTTTTGCATTATGACATTATTGTCATGACAAATTATCTTCACATTACATAATAAATAAATAACTAAATAAAAAAAGATCTGAATTTGTTAATATTTGTTCTACTGACTTTTTTATACTGGTTTAAATAATGAGGCTATTTATTTCAGATTTTTTTAGCACTATTTTTTAATAATGGGGATTACACACACACACACACACACACACACACGCACACGCACACACACACACACAAAACTCCATTATATAGACCCATTAAGGTAATGACTTTTGAATTAATTAATAAATTTTTTTCTTTGTGACCATTATGATTTTTTTATTTTTATTTAAATATAAAATATTATTTCTTATTTTAAAATTATCTTTTTTATTTTGGAGTGTTTCAAGATTCACCCATAAAACAAAATGCGGTTAAGGAAGTCTTTTTAACATCTGCTGATAAACAAGAGTCACAGACAGCTGTGCAGGTCATATTATTTCTCTTCTTTTAATGTCAGTTAGTCACGTGTGTTAACTGTGCTACTTTTAAGACATGAAACATTTTATTAATCTGCGTTAACTTTGTTTATTTGGCTTATCTTTGATCATCTTCTCAGAATATGTCCTGATTTTACAGTAAGGCATTTACCAGGTTTTTCCGGAAAACGGGATCATGTGAGGCACTGCTGCTGGAGTCAGAGATGATTGATTTTTATGTGAGTCATGTGACATGGTCGGGTGAATTGTGGCTTCTTGTAGACGTTCAGTAACAGAGGCCCAGTGTCAGTGCTGTGATATAGTTTCAGAAGAGCTGCTGTAGATCACAGTACACAAGGCTGGTCTATTTACTGAGGGTCTGACAGAATAAAGAGTGTCCCACAACTACTGATCACAGGCTGCCGTCACACCTAGAGAGAAACGGGCTGGAAACATTTCTTCAGAACAAACTCACTTCTGAATGTCTGATTCTTCTTCATGGAGTCATTGTATGATTGTTTGGAATTACAATTGGTATATTGGAAGTGGCATTTTCTAATATACACTCACTTTAAAGAAACTTTTGTCGCTCAAAGGTTTCTCTTTCATAGCTCTGGAAATTTAAAGGGATAGTTCAACTAAAAATTAAAATTCTGTCATCATTTACTTATCCTCAAGTTGTTCCAAACATGTATGAATTTCGTTCAGCTGTTGAGCACGCATGAAGATATTTTGAAGAATATTGGTAACCAAACACTTGACGGTAGCCATTGACTTCCATAGTATGGAAAACAATAATAATATGGAAGTCAATGGCTACAGTCAATTGGGGCTAGAAATTGTACAACTGAGTTATACATGCACTTTTTTCTTATTATAATGGAAAAAATAATACATTTTGGGAAGGTTTATAAATGTGAAGATCTCATGTCAAATTGATTTTGTTTAGTTAGCATGTCTCTAAGGATGTTTTCACACTGCACCCAATTCTGTTTCGCTTTTCACATCTGATCTTTAGGATGTGCTGTCTGGACTGTCATTTTGCAAGTGCTGAAATGGGATCTGTTTGTTCAGATGGAGGTGTCTATCTGGTATATCTGATTTTAAAAGCTTGCCACATCCTGGATAAACTATTTGAAAACAAATCTGAACCACTTTTCCAAAAAAGTTGATTTTAATCCAATTTCAAACCGTATATAAAAGTGGTAAGAATGTGTTTTATTTATTTTATTTTAATATTTTATTTTATTTATTTATTTAGGTAGGTAGGTAGGTAGGTCAGACTACAAAAATGGATTTGAGTCCGATATTTGACATCCCATTTTTTGGTGCCTGTCCTAATAAGGCCTAATTCTCCCTGAAGTGAGCTGATTGCTTAATTAGGAGTTTTGTCATTAGAGGTTATTCACTCTTTTGTTCAGATACTGTTTGTCCTGAATCAGAGGGCGGAAAGGAGAAAAAGATTGTGTCACAGGGAGATAATCAGCAGTGGGTCATTGGGTCTCTGGTTTATGTGGCTGTATTGATTATACAGGCTCAGGCTGGAAATTGAAGCTAATGTGCTCATGGACTCAGTTTTCCCACAATGTGTCCTGTCTGTTTTGAATCACTGCCAGTCAATTCATTAGTGCCCTCTTTTTACTTTGCCACTAGATGCTCTACTTGTAAGGTAGATTTCATAAAGATTTTATATTATCATGTAGTACATAATATTGTGTTTATTATTGTATGTATGTGTGTAGAGTGTTACTATTACATGCATTTTATATACACTGTATTTTGGTATTATTCATTTTTATTAATAATTGATAATTCATATTATAAATGTAACATTTATATTTATATGCCGCATCATGCATAACATTACTAATACTAATGCTAGAATTTTCAGTGTGTATTTGTGCTTGACTATTCTATATTTATTATGCATGCATGACTGTATTGAGCTATATTTCTGTTTTCTGTATGAAGTAGGATTTTTGAGAGACCCAATCAGATGGGAGCTGGTTGGAGGTTTGTATGATCAGGGGCATGTTGAGTTGAGGAGTTAAAGAACAGGAAACACCAACTAATAACATGGTCCATTACCTTCAGGACAAACCCTTTACCATTTGTTTGTTCTCAAGACCCTTAGAAAAGACTTTAAGCCCTTGAGAGAATAGGCCTGAGGTGTGGCACAATCGATCAGCCAACCCTATGTTTTTTCACAGCTGTGCGTTTATAATGAGATCTGTTGACTCCTGGTGGAGGCCTTTCTTCTTAGTCATATTTATGAATGACAAATATTTACATGATTTTTCCCGACTCAGATGAGACGTGTCTCGCTAACGTTTGGGATTCGAAGAACCGCGGGGTGAACGGCACTCAGAGGGGGCAGATCATCTGGAGGTTGGAGCCCGGACCGTACTTCATGGAACGTAAGTGAGAGTTTTGAAAAGTGATATGCACTTTCTTTTTAAAGGAGCGGGGCTTTTGTTAAAGAATGGGTTTGACAAAGTTCGCAAGGTTATTGGCATCAAAGGTTTGGTACACTAGCATTCAAAAGTTTGGAGTCAGTAACAAATATAATATTCTTGAGCAGCAAATCAGCATATTAGAATGACTTCTGAAGCATCATGTGACACTGAAGACTGAAGTAATGATGCTGAAAATTTAGCATTTTTTATCACAGGGATAAATTATATTTTAAAATATATTCAAATAGAAAACAGTTGTTTTAAATAGTAATAATATTTCACAGTATTCCTGTTTTTATTGTATTTTTGATAAAATAAATGCAGCCTTGATGAGAATAAGAGACTTCTTTCAAAAACACCCCAAACTTTTGAACAGTTGTGTAGATACTTATAGTTTTGATACTTAGAGCTAAATAGCAAGGTTATAGCAAACTAACTAAATATCCAAGAGTAAAAGAGCATATTCTGTGAAATCTTATACTATTTTTTCATGCAAATCTGTTAGTGGTATTCATTTGAGATTAATCTGCCTCTATACAGTATGTAAAAACAAAACAATCAATGCTAGAATGCTTTACGTGTTGGTCAGACAAACCTGCCCTGTACAGCTCTGCAGTATATATTTCTATATTTTATATATTGTATTGTGCTGTATTTTTTGTATTGTTCAGGAAGAAGTAAAGCTGAAATCAGATGTAAATTTAAGCAAAATAGTTGTGATCACAGATAACATATGCACTTACTGCTAAATGTGTAAAGGATTAGATGCCTTGAATCTCATAAACTTCAAAATCATGATTATTTATTGTTTGAAATGCTCAGTGTACACTGTAAAAATATTTTTTCAAAGTTGTAAATAAGTTTTACAAGAAAATACTATTTAACTTTCTACTTTAAAATGTTATGTTCAATTCAACCTCAAAATTGAGTAAAAATTGTTTCCAGTTTTGGTTCCCTCTTTACTTTTTTCAGTGTTGCAGCCTAGGAACTTGAAAACACCACTTTGTTTCTCAGCAGACTGATAAATCCTGTGCATATTGATTGCTGAGAATTACATGAAGCCAGCCAATCAAATTACAGCTTGCCCTTGTGAGAAAGTTTTGCCATTTTTGTGTGCATTAAGGATTAGATGCCTTGAATCTCATAAACTTCAAAATCATGATTATTTATTGTTTGAAATGCTCAGTGTACACTGTAAAAATATTTTTTCAAAGTTGTAAATAAGTTTTACAAGAAAATACTATTTAACTTTTTCTACTTTAAAATGTTATGTTCAATTCAACCTCAAAATTGAGTAAAAATTGTTTCCATTTTTGGTTCCCTCCTTACTTTTTTCAGTGTTGCAGCCTAGGAACTTGAAAACACCACTTTGTTTCTCAGCAGACTGATAAATCCTGTGCATATTGATTGCTGAGAATTACATGAAGCCAGCCAATCAAATTACAGCTTGCCCTTGTGAGAAAGTTTTGCCATTTTTGTGTGCATTATGGATCAGATGGTCTATCAGCGTGCTGTCTGAGACTTAAACAATGATAAAATATGTTATAATGTGAGAATAATAATAATGGAGATACTGTATGCGCTGTTTATATTTCAAATACTTGAGCTCTTAGAAACATGATCTTGTGTTTATATTTCACAGCGGAGACCAAAATATGTTTCAAATATTACCATGGAGTGAGTGGAGCATTGAGGGCCATAACACCCTGCATCACTGTCAAGAACCCTGGAGTTACAGTAAGTGTGTGTGTCTGTGTTAAGTATTTGACTTAAAAGTATTAGGATTTAAAACACTGATTTGTTGGCATCAGATGGGGCTGAAAACACACTTCTGTTGACTGGTCACCACTTGAATTGTGCTTGAAAGGAGTATTTTTACTCATAATGCATTTTAAAAGTGACATAAGAGTCACATGAACTTGAGAGAAACATAAAAGCATCTTTCATCAAAATGGCATTTTATGTTTTCATAATAAAAATATTTTTTCAAAGTTGTAAATAAGTTTTACAAGAAAATACTATTTAACTTTTTCTACTTTAAAATGTTATGTTCAATTCAACCTCAAAATTGAGTAAAAATTGTTTCCAGTTTTGGTTCCCTCTTTACTTTTTTCAGTGTTGCAGCCTAGGAACTTGAAAACACCACTTTGTTTCTCAGCAGACTGATAAATCCTGTGCATATTGATTGCTGAGAATTACATGAAGCCAGCCAATCAAATTACAGCTTGCCCTTGTGAGAAAGTTTTGCCATTTTTGTGTGCATTATGGATCAGATGGTCTATCAGCGTGCTGTCTGAGACTTAAACAATGATAAAATATGTTATAATGTGAGAATAATAATAATGGAGATACTGTATGCGCTGTTTATATTTCAAATACTTGAGCTCTTAGAAACATGATCTTGTGTTTATATTTCACAGCGGAGACCAAAATATGTTTCAAATATTACCATGGAGTGAGTGGAGCATTGAGGGCCATAACACCCTGCATCACTGTCAAGAACCCTGGAATTACAGTAAGTGTGTGTGTCTGTGTTAAGTATTTGACTTAAAAGTATTAGGATTTAAAACACTGATTTGTTGGCATCAGACGGGACTGCAAACACACTTCTGTTGACCGGTCACCACTTGAATTGTGCTTGAAAGGAGTATTTTTACTCATAATGCATTTTAAAAGTGACTGAGTCACATGAACTTGAGAGAAACATAAAAGCATCTTTCATCAAAATTGCATTTTATGTTTTCATAATAGTAGATTTTTTTGTTCATGTTAATTCTTTCATGAAATCATGTTTGTAATATTTCCAAATTCCATTCCTGTTCTATCACCACAACAAAAGAATAAAAAAGGGGGAAAAAATTGTATTATTTTGTAGTAGCACTGAATTCGTTTTGTAGCACAGAAAGTATGTAGTTCCCCTTAGAAATCAATTATCAATTTATTAATTAAAAAAATAAAAATGTAAATAAATAACTTTTCATATTGACTAATAAATAGACATGTTTATATATATATATATATATATATATATAGTTAAATGTAACAACAAATAATACTTTGATATATAACTTTAAATGTGATATTTAAATAGCATTTTTATATATTTTGTATTTTAAATAGAATTTATGTTAATTTAATTACACTACACTTCAAAAGTTTGGGGTCTGTAAGATTTTTAATGCTCCTGAAAGTCTATTATGCTCACCGAGACTGCGTTTATTTAAAAAAATGCAGTAAAACAGTAATATTGTTAAATATTATTACTATTTAAAATAACTGTTTACTACTTGAATATATTTTTAAATATAATTTATTTATCTGATGGCAAAGCTGAATTTTTTAGCATCATTACACCAGTCTTCATTTTAATATGTTGATTTGCTGAAGAGACATTTATTATTAGTAACAACGTTAAAAACAGTTGAGACGCTTAATGCTGATACTGTTGCATACTGATACTGTTTTATTTATTTATTTAATGGAATTCTTTGATAATTAAAGTTAAAAAGAACAGCATTTATTGGATCTTTTGTAATATTATAAATGACTTTACTGTCACTTTTGATGCATTTAATATTAATTTATTTCCAAAAAATGGAGGTGTAATTTAAAGGGTTAGTTCGCCAAAAAATTAAAATTAGGCTGTGTTTTACTCACCCCCGAGGCATCCTAGGTGTATATGACTTTCTTCTTTCAGACGAATCCAGTCGGAGTTATATTAAAAATTGTCCTGGCTATTCCAAGCTCTATCATTGCAGTCAGCGGGTGTTGCAGTGCTTCAGTCCAAAAGAAGTGAAATAAAAAGCGCCCATTCATAAAAAAAGTGTCTCACACAGCTCCGGTGGGTGAACAAAGGCCTCCTGTAGCAAATCGATGCGTTTTTGTAAGACAAATATCCATATTCAAAACATAATAATCACTTTAATCTAGCTTGCGCCAACAGTTGTACACGGAGGCAGCTCCGGGAGATTAGCAAAGGAAAACAAGTCTCCTCTTGGCTTATATCGAAATACTCCGACATTCTTCTTTACAAATCCTCGTTTTGTACTTCTAATTAGTGACCGTTGTTTTGTTTTGATCTCTCCGCTGCGTTTCTGCGTTCGTCACTTCTGAGTGGCGCATGCGCAAAGCTGACCTCATACGTCATCCGCCCGGAGCTGCTTCCGTGTACAACTGTTGGCGCAAGCTAGATTAAAGTGATTATTACATTTTGAATATGGATATTTTTCTTACAAAAATGCATCGATTCTCTACAGGAGGCCTTTGTTCACCCCCCGCAGCTGTGTGAGACACTTTTTTTATGGATGGGTGCTTTTTATTTCACTTCTTTTGGACTGAAGCACTGCAACACCTGCTGACTGCAATGATAGAGCTTGGAATAGCCTGGACAATTTTTTATATAACTCCGAATGGATTCGTCTGAAAGAAGAAAGTCATATACACCTAGGATGCCTCGGGGGTGAGTAAAACCTAATTTTCATTTTTGGGTGAACTAACCCTTTAATTCCAAGTAATATACTAGCCTAACTAGCATTTAAGACTGTTAATGGTTCTTAAGCACCAAGTTAACTTATACCGTTAACATAAAATTAATTTGATGTTTGTGTATATAGGTTATTTTATAATGCTTCGAACTGGTGCACAAATGCTGCAGATACATGTGCGATCATCGCACATGGTCTCCACCTGCATGTGTTTCTTAGTCTTTCTCTGCCTGTATGTCTGCAAGCTCCATTATCATGAGCTAGAGTTTGACTAAACTCCACAGAGACATATCATGTTCACAGGCATGCAGGGAATGCACAGGAAGTTGAGAGCGCTCTTTGATATGCTTAGTGCCTGGCTGCCGATACGACGCCACAGAACTAGTGCAAAGGGCACATTCCACCCTCTGTGCACAAGTCTGAACTTGAACCCCTAGAGTTAACGGACCGATTCACTCGTAAAGCATTACTATTACTGTTTGAACTACCGTTTGAGCTTATTTTTGTGCTATGGAAGTGAATGAATACATCAGATCATGTAACTGTGATCTGAGGCGTGCTGAAATGACTCCTCAAGCAAATAGAACATGTGATCTGATTTTTGAACATGTATTTTGAAAATGGATGTTTTGATAAAATTACTGTTGCTACTTTGTATGGTTTGGATTGATGCAGAACACGTTTTGAGCGAATACACACCCCGAACAATTGACTTAAATGAGAGTTTCATGTGCAATGGCTTAACATATGGAAATTATAATATCTCAGTCTCACCATCATTCAGAAGTCGTCAGGTTGGGGCTCTGTGGCTGAACGAGAGTCTATAATCATAAATCAAACACTGCTGTATTAATGAGCAGGAACATTATAATGTTATTGAAATATTCATGACAATGATCCTGAACCTCTCTCTTGCTAAAATGTAACATGATAACCATAGCTTCAACCAAAATACAGCTGTAAAATATATTAAATGTAATAAATATGCAAAATAAATATTTAATACATATGTGGATATATGGAATAAATATTAAATAAATGAGATCTCCTTCAAGAAGATTTATGTATTTATTGTTTTGCATTAAAATGGGGGTTAATGCCAGATTACCACAGTTTTATTGTAAACACTCCAGCTCAGTTTTTGGCAGAAACTATTTGAAATGATTTCAAATATTAATCCAGGTCTGGGTTTCTCTGGGCATTATAAACCATGACCAAAAAACTAAAACCATAATTTTTTTTTTATTTTTTATAAATCAACATTAACTTAAATAATATAAAAAAACTTTGCCAAAGCAACGTTTGTGATTTTCATTTAGGTTAATTGGATGTACTAAAAATACTAATACTAAAACTAAAACTGAAATGAAATAATAATAATAATAATAATAAAAACTATATACACATATAAAAAATAATAAAACTGACAAAAACCACAAAATTACTAAAACTAAAATGAAAACAAAAAATATAAAAATAAAATCAAATTTAAAATAGGAATAAAAGCTATAATAGTATATAGTGTCTCAGCGATACTAAAATAAAACTTCTGTATTTCTCTATATGATAATGTGTAATTGTGTGTTATGGTGTCCTCCACAGGTCGGGGCAGAGGGGCAGGTGGATGGACAGTCTGTCACAGAACACTGCAGGAAATTGGTCAGCTTTACTCTGTCAGGTAAGAATGCTTGGTATTTACAACACCTACTTTCATTTTAGTAAAAGAGACTGAAGATTTCTTTATGAAACTGATTTCTGTATATATGAATTCTGTAAGCCGTTTGAGAGGCAGTACTGTGATTTTACCACCCACACCTTCCTTAACCATGGTAAAATCATTACAGTGCACTTAAAACAACTTCAAATGATATATTGCTGTTTATAAAACTGTAACAATGGATACATTATAACAACACTAACGGTCAATAAATAATAGACTTTCTTAACTAACAATAAACAATGCATGCACCAAGTAATATAGTTAATTTGGCTTAATTTATTTAATATTTCAAACTAATTTACAATGATTTGAAATGTGTCTTATCCTACCTCAAATCTCACATATAAAGCATGTGTTGTCTTTTTAATTAAAGCTCTTCTATATATCTGCCCTCTTGTGGCAATGAGCAGCTAGTGCACATAGATAGATAGATAGATAGATAGATAGATAGACTGCTAGCTCACTTTGTGTGTGTGTGTGTATGTTGCAGATATCAGGGCTCAGGGTCTGAAGAAGGGCATGTTTTTTAATCCGGACCCCTATCTGAAGATGAGCATTCACCCTGGTAAGAGGCACGGCTTCCCTACATTCACCCACCACGGCCAGGAGAGACGAACCTCCATCATATCAAACACGACTAACTCTGCGTGGCACGGAGAGGTAATTTATATTCATGTGTGTGGGCCAGTTAATGATGTGTGCTGTTTGTGTTCACTTCTTCAGCGCTTAACCTCTGGATGCTGCAGGGTGACGTCCCTGCTGTCAGTCCACTGTGAGGAGCTGAGAAGTTAATGGGATGTAACCAAGTAGGGGTGACTCTGAAACGAGAAGTTTTCAGTAAATGCATTGTACCCTTGAGCAAGGCCTTAACCTCAGATTTCTTCAGAAATTACTGTACTATAAGTTGATAACATTTGCTAAATAAAATTTTTTTCTTTATTATAAAAAAAAATGTAGTGAATGATACTAAATGATAAACATATCAATGTATTTACATGGTACTTCAGGGTATTTTTAGGAATACTACCATGGTACATTTATAAATGTTTTATTTAAAGTAAATAAGAGTAAAGTTTTGTTACCATAAATGAGGCTGAATATATTGTAGGATTGAATATTATTTTACCTCCACTGCACAGAAACATAACTGTAAACCTTCATTTTCATACTTCTTTTCTTTTCCCCTGCAGAAGTACACTTTTGTTGCTCTGATGACGGATGTTTTGGAAATTGAGGTCAAGGACAAATTTGCAAAAAGTCGCCCAATCATCAAACGCTTTTTAGGTCAGCTGACAATACCAGTGCAGAGACTGCTGGAGAGACATACAGCCGGGTCAGTATTCACTATTTATCAACCAAAGAGCTGTAGCCTCCAAGTGTCCTGCAGTTCATTTCTGTCTACAGACGTTTATCTAGACATAACTTGTTTAATAATTCAGGAAGTTAAATAAAAAAAATTGTAATTTTTTTTTTTGCATCCCAAGATGTTACATTTAGAGGTACATACTGTATTTGGTCATATTTTCATTGACAAAACAATATTTATGTGTAAGCTTATTTATTTATACAGATTTATTATTTTTTATGAACTATATTACAAACGGATTTTATTACAATACAATAATAGTTATCTGTGTGATTTTTTTTATTTTTTTTGAAAAAAGGGATCAACATGTGAGCTATACACTTTCACGTCGTCTACCGACAGAACATGTGAGCGGACAGCTTCACTTCAGGGTGGAGATCACCTCCAACGGACATGAAAGTACGGATTACAGTATGTTTACAGTAAAACTTACAGTATTCTTATTTTTACAGTAAAAATAAGAATATTGTGAAATATTATTACAATTTCAAATAACTGTTTTCTGTTTTAATATATTGTAAACTGTAATATATTCCTGTGATGAAAAAGCTGAATTTTCAGCATCATTATTCCAATCTTTAGTGTCACGTGATCATCCAGATATCCTTCAGGAACCATTCTAATAAGAAACATTTATTTTCAATTATTTTCTATTATTATCAGCAACAGTTGTGCCGCTTAATATTTTTGTGTAAACCGTGATACTTTTTTTTTTTGAATGAAACAGCATTTATTTGAACATGAAATCTTTTGTAACTTTATGCATTTTGTAACTTTATACATTTTGTAACGTTATATATTTTGTAAAATTATAAATGTCATTATAGTCACTTTTGATCAATATAATGCATTCATGCTAAATAAAAGTATTAATTTCTTTCAAAAGAAAAAAAAGTACTTTTAATTGGTTGTGAAGCAGTATTTTCAGTTTTTAAGTTTGTTTTTGTATATTTTGAAACTATGTTTTCTCTTTCTATCTTCAGTCCAGACTAAACCCTTTTTCAACAACCTAACCTTTAACCTTACAGTTTTTACAGTTACATCCTTGCCAATTTCCACTCATAAAACACATATTTCTGATTCAAAAATATGTTTTGATGAGCTATGTTCAGATTTGTTGTAAAATACTACCCATTATGTAATTATTGTAAACTATAACCAGCCTACAGTTAGCTAATAAAGTATATTACTTGGTTAAAATATATACTTATTTATTTAAGGGGGTTTTAGTGGGTCCCTTTCATGCCATGCCTCAAAAGATCCTTTTTCAGAGTTCTTTGATGAATATAAATTTCAAAATAACATAATTTATTTGAAACAGAAATATTTTGTAACATTTTAAATGTCTTTACTGTCACTGTTGATCAATTTAATGTGTCCTTGCTGAATAAACGTATTATGCTTTTATAGATGCCATGGGATCTCTGCTGGGAGCCTCCTCTATGAACGGAGACCCTGGGAGCCCATCGGATGATGAGGATGTTTTGCATCCTTCATCCCGTATTGCCAGGGGCCCCTCGCCCACCAGCTCTGAAGGGTCCCTGCACGGTGACGCCTTTAGGACTGACGAGTGCATGATGGACCCTGATGAGGATCGGCTCTTGAGAGACGGAGCTCCAGAGTCTATCGAAGGAACCCCGGGCCACACTCATCGCCAGGCCTCGCTTAACGACTACCTGGATGCCATTGAAGCCCCTAAGGGCCCCGGAGACAGACCGCTTGGGGCCGCCTCACCTAAACTACGCTCAAGTTTCCCCACGGACACACGGCTCAATGCTATGTTACATATAGATTCTGATGAAGATGAGGAGGGACACGCCTCCCGGGATATGACATTGACCAATGGCGCTCAGCGGCCTGATGGACACACCTCCTCTGAACAGGACAAAGGGGAGGGTCCCGTGAAAGAGAGGCTTGAAGCAGAAGCAGCGAGCAGCGCCACAGATACAGAGGCCACAGCATCAGGGTCGAGCAGTGCCACCACAAGGAGCCAAAATGGAGGTGCTGAGGATGGTCAGGAAGGAGCTGCTGCCTCTGGAGACTCGACACAAAGCACCAGCAGCGCTCAGCATCCAGCTCCCAAAATACAGGTCTGTAGGGTTTGGCTTCCCCCCTTTTTTAACCTGTTATGGGAATACGTTATATTAGCCTATTTTCCATGCAGGTTTTAAATATTTTTATATTTAACTGGGGTAACAGGTGTGTGTGTGTGTGTGTGAAAAAAAAAATATATGTATGTGTGTGTGTGTGTGTGTGTGTAATAAAAATATAATTTTAATATAATTATAATTTGTAATTAATTTGTTTTAACCACACATTTTATGACCTGTTATGTAAATATGTTTTCATGAAGGTTATAAATTGTTAATAGTTATTTATTTAAAAAAATCGTATTACTTTTTTCATATTTTTTAAAATTACTCTTCTCTGAAGATTTAAAAAAATATATTTTTAAATTCATTTTGTGAATTTTTTTATTGATAATATTTGTCTCTCTCTCATATATGGCTGAGGTATTGTTAATCATGAAGTATTAACTGAAGTATTAGTATTACTGAAGTATTAGTACCTTATTAAAACCAAGTTAAATTATTGACTAAATAAAGGTGTTTTATATTTTATGACAAACTCATAATTTATTTTACATTTTATAGCACACCTCATGCGTGTTAATGTGGTGGTTTTCGCCGCTTCTCTAAGAAATCACTCTCGAAGTCTTGAGGTTTTGATGCCAGAAGATAGACTTTATTATCAAAAGATAACGAAGCCGAGAGACTCTGCAGAGCATCTCAAGAGTCTGTTTCTGCACCCTCTTTTATCCAGTTTTTCCTCAAGGCTTGTTCTATACATTTCATACATAGCAGACAGGAGGCCTCAATTTATGTTTCGTGAAAGGAAGACGCCCCATCATATATTTTGTCTAATGTCAAAACAGGACGTGCAGCTTCATCATATGTAAGCACATTCCATTTTCATGCAGACTTCTATACACACAGGCAAATACATCAGAGGCGTCATGCTCATTTAAAGTGAGGGGGCACGTGCCACCTCAGATTTCTGAGCCAAGTGGATTTTGAATGCAGCTGTCACGGTGCACACACACGAGGAACGAGGAGACGCTGGAGAATACTTTACCAAGACTTTATTTTCAGGAACCAAGGGAGACGAACTCAGGAAGACGTTTAACAGCGGACAGAGAACTTGGGACTGGGAACACTATTTATACACACAGGAGGAGGGGATGACGAGACACACCTGGG